GAAGGGAAATGAGAAAATTTTGATGAATGAAAACGCATCCGCGGTTTTACAAAGGAAACTTCCACCCAAATGCAAAGATCCCGGAATGTTCACGGTTCCTTGCAAGATTGGAGATGTCACTTTTAGTAGTGATATGCTTGATCTTGGTGCTTCTATCAATGTCATGCCCTATTCAGTGTATGAATCATTAAATGTCGGACCCTTAAGTGAAACCGGTGTCATAATCTCTCTTGCGGATAAATCAAGTGTCTTTCCTAGAGGTGTTTTAGAAGATGTCCTAGTGCAAGTGAACCAATTAGTCTTCCCGACGGATTTCTATGTGATTGATCTAGATGAGCAATTGTCTTCCAAATCGGCTCTAATCTTGCTTGGGAGACCGTTTTTGAAGACAGATAGGACAAAGATCGATGTGTATGCGGGAAGTTTGACAATGGAGTTTGATGGTGAAACAATAAGTTTTAATATTTATGATGCCATGAGATATCCTAGTGATGTTTCATCTTTGTACTTTGTTGATGTTGTTGAGCCAATTACTCAAGAATTGTTTGAGTTATCTAACGGTGATATGTTGGAGATGATCTTAAGCAAAGGATTCGATTGTGGGAAGCTAGCCGAGCAATTAAAGCTTTATTCTTTGGATCCGGAAGTTGAGAAGTTGGTAAATAAAATGGAAATGAAAAAATCCACAAGATTAGATGTCAAGCAAATTGAATTGTCCCCAACTCATACAAAATTGTCTCCATCCCTTGTTCAACCACCCGAATTGGAATTAAAGGTCTTACCTCAACACTTGAAGTATGCCTACTTGGGAAAGGATGAAACCCTTTTCGGTTATCATCTCAACTCTTTTAACCGAATTTGAAGAAGAGCAACTCCTCAAGGTGTTGAAGGAGCATAAAGAAGCCATGGGTTGGACGATTGCGGATATCAAGGGTTTGAGCCCCTCCACTTGTATGCACAAGATCTTAATGGAGGATGAATGCAAGCCAAGTAGATACGCGCAAAGAAGGCTAAATCCACCAATGATGGAAGTCGTGAAGAAAGAGATATTAAAGCTTCTTGATGCGGGGATGATCTATCCAATCTCGGATAGCAAGTGGGTGAGTCCAGTGCAAGTCGTTCCAAAGAAGACGGGAATCACGGTGGTCGAGAACAACAAAGGTATGATGGTCCCCACCCGTGTGCAAAACGGGTGGAGAGTATGTATTGACTACCGCAAACTCAATGCGAGCACACGAAAAGATCATTTCCCATTGCCTTTCATTGACCAAATGTTAGAAAGGTTGGCCGGCAAATCCCATTATTGTTGTCTAGACGGGTACTCTGGTTTTCACCAAATCCCGGTGGCACCGGAGGACCAAGAAAATACATCATTCACATGCCCATTTGGTACTTTTGCATACCGGAGAATGCCATTTGGATTGTGTAACTCCCTTGGCCACTTTCCAACGTTGTATGGTTAGCATCTTTTCGGAATATGTTGAAAACATAATTGAGGTTTTTATGGATGATTTCACGGTATATGGTAACTCTTTTCAAGAATGTTTGACCAATCTCACAAAAATTTTAAAAAGATGCATTGAAACAAACTTGGTTTTGAATTTTGAGAAATGTCATTTCATGGTGAGTCAAGGTCTCATTTTGGGTCACATTGTGTCTAAAAAAGGATTGAGGTAGATAAGGCCAAAATTGATGTTATTCAAAGCTTACCTTACCCGACTTGTGTTCGGGAAGTTCGTTCTTTTTTGGGCCATGCAGGTTTCTACCGAAGGTTCATCAAGGATTTTTCAAAGATAACAAGACCAATGTGCCAGCTCTTGCAAAAGGAGGTTGATTTTGAGTTCAACGAGGCGTGCAAAGAAGCTTTTGACAAGCTTAAAGAGTTGCTTACATCCGCTCCCATCATGCAAGCACCAAATTGGGATCTTCCTTTTGAGATCATGTGTGATGCAAGCAATTACGCGATAGGCGCCGTCTTGGGTCAAAAGAACGGGAGGGCATCCCATGTGATCTATTATGCATCAAGAACACTAGACAATGCTCAAAGCAACTACTCTACCACAGAGAAGGAGCTATTGGCCATAGTGTTTGCTCTGGAGAAGTTTCGACAATATCTACTTGGCACCAAAGTCATAGTGTATTCGGATCATGCGGCTCTCAAGTACTTGATGACAAAGAAAGATGCAAAGCCGAGACTCATCCGATGGATCCTACTGTTACAAGAATTTGACTTGGAAATCCGGGACAAGAGCGGGTGCGAGAACCTTGTGGCCGATCACCTAAGCCGGATCACTTCAAATGAAACTCCTCTCCCGTTGCGGGATGAGTTTCCGGATGAGCATCTCTTTTCCCTTACTCAATCTATTCCTTGGTATGCCGATATCGTTAACTTTTTGGTCACAAAAAGGTATCCCGACACATTCACACGTGCTCAAAAAGACAAGTTGAAAAATGATGCAAAATATTATGTGTGGGATGAGCCTTATTTGTGGAAACATTGTCCCGATCAAATCATTAGGCGATGTGTACCCCAACAAGAGCACCAATCCATTTTGCAATTCTGCCATGAATTCGCTTGTGGGGGACACTTTGGACCTAACCGGACTTTGAGAAAAGTCCTTGAGTGTGGATTATTTTGGCCAACCATGTCACGCGATTGTTATATGTTTTGCAAAAGTTGTGAGCGATGCCAAAGGACGGGAAACATTTCGCATAAAAACCAAATGCCCCAAAATCCAATCCTTGTTTGTGAAATTTTTGACGTATGGGGGATCGATTTCATGGGCCCATTTCCCGTCTCATTTGGCAACGTTTACATTTTACTCGCGGTTGACTATGTTTCTAAATGGGTTGAAGCAAAAGCCACAAGATCGGACGATGCCAAAACAGTTATCGAGTTTTTAAAGTCTAATGTTTTTGCAAGGTTTGGTGTGCCTAGGGCTTTGATTAGTGATAGAGGGACACACTTTTGCAACAAAATGATGGAGGCTCTATTGAAGAAGTACCACGTACCCATCGTGTTTCCACAGCCTATCACCCTCAAACGAATGGTCAAGCGGAGGTTCAAATCGTGAAGTGAAGTCTATTCTAGAGAAAACGTGAATCCAACAAGGAAGGATTGGAGTTTGAGACTTGACGATGCTTTATGGGCTATCGGACCGTTACAAGACCCCGATAGGAATGTCCCCTTTAGATTGGTCTTTGGAAAGCCATGTCACCTTCCCGTCGAGGTAGAGCACCGTGCATTTTGGGCGGTCAAACAATGCAATTTCAACATTGATGAGGCGGGAAGGCATAGGAAACTTCAACTTCAAGAGCTAGAAGAATTGAGAAATGACTCCTATGAAAACGCAAGGATTTACAAGGAGAAAACAAAGCTCTTCCACGACAAGTCCATCTCCCGGAAGCATTTTGAGGTGGGGCATAGGGTCTTACTATACCATTCACGATTGAAGTTATTTCCAGGCAAGCTAAGGTCAAGATGGATTGGACCTTTCGTTGTGATTAAGACCTTTAACCATGGGGCGGTGGAAATTCAAAGCGAAAAGACGGGACAAACCTTCAAAGTCAATGGGCACCGGTTGAAGCCATTCTATGAAGGTTTCAATGCTAATGCCCTTGAAGTCATCCATTTGGATGTCCCGATGTGTTGAAGAGAGCTAGAAGGACGTCTCGCCAAAGACGATAAAGAAGGGCATTTTTGGAAAGCAATGTGCTTTCACCATTTTTTTTTTAATTCAAATAAATTTTTGAAAGATTTCACCAAACGTTCCCCGTTTACTCCAAATTTTGTCAAAAAAAAAAAAGGCCTTAAGGGGATCGTTTTGGCTTAAAAAATCAAGTGTTTTGGAAAAATCTCATTTTTGATGTGCAGAAGTACCCGCGGCCAGCCCGAGCCGCCTTGCCCGCGTGTGTGATCAGAAAGTTTTCTAGCAAGTAGACGCGGCCAGCCCGCGGCCCGAGTCCAGCCCGCGTGGGGTTAAGCTCAAATTCAGTCCAGTACACGCGGCCAGCACGCGGCCCGCGCCTCACCCGCGTGGGTTTTCAAAGACTAGGAGATTTTTTTGAGTAACCAGTACCCGCGGCCAACCGCGGCCCGAGCTCCACCCGCGCGTAAGGTCAGAAAAAATTCGAGCATGCTAGACGCGGTCATCCCGCGGCCCGAGCTCCACCCGCGCGTAAGTCAGAATGATCCGAGCAGGCTAGACGCGGCCAGCACGCGGCCCGCGCCCAGCCCGCGTGTTGGTCGTTTGATTGGGATTTTGAGCTGTTGACTGCCTTGACTTTCTTTGACCAAGAGATTTAATGAGTTGACCAAACATTGACCGGGTTTGACCCTCTTTGAACAAAGATTAAACACCTCCAACACTCTTCTTCTTCATTCTAACCTAACCAATTCCCCCATTTTCTCTCTAGAAGCTCAAGAACACTAAACCCACTTCTCACAAAAATCCATTTTCCCGGAGTTCTACCGGTCGGAATCTCACGAAACCACCGCCATTCTTCTCCATTTTTCTTCCTCTACAAACCCCACCCAAATTCCGGTCCGATCTGTGGCCGGAACTCCGGGCGCCACCACCACCCACCACCACATATTTTCGCGTTTTCCGGCCAACTCCGGCCACCATTGGAGAATCCGAGCACGGGGTTTTGTTTCTCTCATCAAGAGCTTTCTAGTCATACAAATCTTTCCGCAAAAACTCACGAAAAATTTCCGTCAAATTCCGAGTGCCGCTACTCCATTCGCCGGAAAGTCATCTTGAAGCTAGTTTGTGGGGTTGTTTTAGCGATTAAAGCATCAAATACGGAGCAAAATTGCAAGCTTGGGGTGTGTCTTGACGAAATCATTTTGGTGGCACTAGTTCATCCCGGGTCTAAGAAATTGGGTAATCTCATTCTTTTAACTTGATTGTTCATACCTCAATTTCCCATTTGTTGTTGGTATTGTGTGCATTTGTTGTGGTTGAAAGTTATTATCGGTAAAATTTTGTCCCGAATAAATGTTCAAGCGCGCAAAAACGGGGACGGGAGCAACTTCCTCTAAAGGAGGATCGAAGGGAAAATCCAAGGATCCCCCGTTTCGTTTGTTGAATCGTGAGGATCGTAAAACTTATGATTTTCTCGTTTCTAATAAGCGTCAAGTCAAGTCAACAAAATTCCTCCATAGGGAATCTTTTGCTAGTCTTGGGGTGCTCGATGGAGTCCAAGCGTTATTTAACAACATCGGGTGGGGTCAATTCCTCCATAACCGCGCCGCCACCTATGTTGAACCCACCTTGGAATTTCTTACCACATTCAATCCCGAGGAGGAAGCCCAAACCGTCACCTTCCAAATCCTCGGCGAGAAACGATCTCTACCACATCGGGTCGTGAATGCTTTGATGGGTGCTCCCGTGGACAACCTATATTACCAACAAGACCCATGGCCCGGAAACTTCAATGAACATTACTTTTGGCAACAAATTACCAATGAGCCACAATATTCATCGTCTTCGTCAAAGGCCTCCTCCATAATTCACCCATGTTTGCGCCTAGCGCATAGAGTTCTCACATGCACCATTTTCGCCCGCTCCGAAGTGGGACAGATTTCAAAGGCGGAATTATTTTTTCTTTGGTGCATGACTCGTGAGAACGGTCCGCGGCCGGATTTTGCTTCCTTTTTCTTCACCAAGTGTTACAACCTCACAACTATGGACAAAGGAGACATTTTCATTGGGGGATTAATCACCCTTATTGCATCCCGGCCACCGCTTCAACTTCATCTCTCTACTCTTCCATTCGAGAAGGCTTCCGGCCCCTCTAGTCTTGACGGCAACGCACTTCGCCGAATGCAACTCATCCGGGATTCGGTTGTCGGGCCCATGTGGATCCTTGACAACCAACCATACCTCATTCTCCCTCATGAGTATATCGGGAGTTTTGAACCGACCGATCCCGATCAATGGATCATTCCATCAGACTACCCTCCACCTGTAGATGATGAGGATGACCAATTTCAGCCTGCACAACAATTCGCCGAGCCCCAATTTCAGCCTGCACAGCAGTTCGTCGAGCCTCAGTTTCAGCCGCAGCAGCAGGGGGGATACGAAGTTCCACCATATTTCCCCCTACTTTCTTTGACCAATTTGCCACAATGTTCTCCACGGTGCAGCGTATCGACACCCAAACGCAAGAGAACACGAGAGCCATCCAAGATGTGGCGAGTCGCGTTGAACGATTGGAGCACTCCTTCCCTCCCACTTCCCGCCAGGTCCAAGATATGTGGGACTACCATTATCGTCACGGGCATTTCCCGCCGCCCGACCCACCGATTTAGGTCCTTTCCGCCCTTTCCTTAAGCATTGAGGACAATGCTTGTTCTTAAGCTTGGGGTGGGGCATTTCCCTTATCTTTTACTTTTTCATGCATTTTTAGTTAGGTTGCATAACATTTTAGTATTAAGCTAATTTTCATTCATTTTTTTTATTTATTTAAAATTTCAAAAAGATTTTATTTTCTTCTTTTCCACTTTTTATTTTTGCATAACATTTAGCTTAAGGCATTAGCATTCATGCATTTTTGTTGTCTGTTTATTCTCACCTCTCTTGGATGCCATGGAACAGGTTCACAGTTATTGAATCATTATTGGTCCAGGATCTTGTTGCTATCTCACCCATCGAACGGGACCACTAGCTGCAGTTTGGGATTTCATACTTGGGATCAGATGCTGGTAGCTTAAAGGGGTAAGTGATCATGGCCAGGTAGTTTCATGAAGAATTATGCATACAATACTAACAACTGTAGGATATACTATAGCAATGGGTGTTCTTAGCCTTGCGGTCACTACCGCGGAGAGGATCACACTTGATCATGTTTGAACTGTTAGGATGAAGCATTGGTGCTTGTCCCCGAGTAGAATCCATATCCGGTCTCTTTACATCACCATATCTTTTTGCGATTTTCTTAGAATTTTAGAGAGTCTTTAGTCCACATTTGGACATTTTCATTATCTTTGAAAAACCACAAGTTTGAAAAGGAGCTTACATTACATCTTTATGCTCCACACATGGTCATTTTCACACTTAGGCCATTCGGATTATATCATTACCCTTTCGGTTCCACCTACACACCTTTGGGAACCAAATTTTGAGTCAAAGGGTTTTCATCAAAAAAAAAAAAACAAAAAAAAAAAAAAAACAAAAAAAAAAACAAAAACAAAAACAAAAACAAAGAAGCACACAAATTTTCAGTTGCAACTATCTTAGATAGGTGGCCGGTTCAATTATTGAACAAATTTCCTAACATCTTGGTCACCCGGCGTTTGATATTCATTTGTATAGGTCTGTTTTATTGTATATAGATCGAGTTGTTATTTTTTTTTTTCTTTCTCACAAATTGGTGATGTTAGAGAGACTGTCGAGTCGGATACTACGGGAGGTTTGGGCCAACACTAAGTGAACTGATTCCTACAACGGTGCCCGAGCGATTAAACCTAGTTACACATGAGAGAAACCGGCAATGTGAGATAGAGTGTGCACTTAAAGAAGAGCTCCACCCGAGCCCATCCAGTTGCTTTCTCCCTACTACAGATGTTCTTCATTGTATGCATGTTCCATTGAGGCTGCGACTGCTCATCCCTCCTTACTCACCTAAAGGAGTTGTCCTGACTGTGGTTTATGGTTCCATTGTCATCGGATGAAAAAGTTGTGAGATAGCAGCGAAATCAATTCTGACCATGTTGACTAACGTCGAACAGGTTCCATGGTTCTATCCATTCTTTTTATTTCTAGGGTAGTTCATCCCAAGTTCATTTAGTCTTGTCTTACTTGAGGACAAGTAAGGTTTAAGCTTGGGGTGATTTGATAGCTTCATTTTATTTACTTCTTTTTATAGTTTATTTTAGTACATTTCATTCGCATTTTAGTTAACTTTCATGCATATTTTCCCTTTTGTTATTTTTATGACCATTTCGGGGTACTTTCTAGTTTCTTGAGCATTATTGCAGATTTTCTTGGAAACTAGCGGGGCGGCACTCTTGGGAGGCGATTGGGCTTGAAGGGAATTGGAGATTTCATGCTTGATGGCTATGAAGGTGATTCATGGGGTGGACTTGTCAATTGCTTGAAGGCTTGGAAGAATTGAGCTTTAAATTTGAAAGATGCGGGAGAATTCTTGAGTATGCAAGATCAATATTTGGGAGTTTGCGGAAGTTTTGAGTGATGTGGAAAGACAAATTGGGCTCAAATTGAAGAAACATTGAAGAAAAATGGGCTAGAAGCTGATTGGACTCGAACTGGGCCAATGGATTAGCTGTGGGGGCCCAAGACTTGAAGAAGCCCAAAATTCCCGTCAGTACCCGCGGCCCGCGTAAGATTCCCGCGGCCCGCGTGGATTCCTGACAAGGGCAATTTCGGGATTTTGCTTAGAGCTCTATATTGGGAAGGTTGGTGTGCCTCTTTAGGACAATCTTGGAGGTCCGATTTTGAGCTTTTCTCTCTGGAGTTTGGAGCACTTTTGGAGGCCAAGAACACTTGAAGAACATCTTCTTTTCACCTCTTGAATCTTGTCAAATGTTTGGTACAATCTTATCTAACTTTGTTCATTTGAGTTTAGCCATGCTTGGCTAAACAAATCTTGGTTGACTTTTTGTTGAATCCTTTGAACTTTTGTTGGATGTTGAAGAATCTATGAACTTGTTCTTGAATCTTTATGGAAATGTTTTGTGTTTCATCATATTATCATACTAGTATGTTTTTATTCATGAGTTTAAATATGTTTGTGGTGATTAGTTGGCTAATTTCTTGATTAAGTAAATGATCCTCAAATTAGCAAGCAACAAGTGATTTTTGTGTTGTTTTTGCTTCACACAATCATAAAAACATTCCTCCAACATGGTAGTGAAAGCAATTGACTCCTCTTGGATTTGGTGATTTTTTGGTTCTTAATGCTAGTTGACTTTCACTAATTACATGCTATTTGGAATTAGTGACTTTGACTAAGGAAATTGTTATGAGCTTCTCTAGCCATTTCAACAATTAAGAAAAGTCTAGGTAATCTCAAGCTCCTTGGATTACTATAACCAAATTAAGGATTTAAATCAAAGTATTGCACTATTGGATTCTAATGATATGTTCATCAAAAGTCAAAGTGAGGAAACTTTAAGTCAACCATCTCTCCCTTATTGATTTTACATCAAACTCTTATTTTTGTTGCATTTGTCTATTTAAATCATAGTTAACTCTAGTTTGTTTCAAGTATTTCAAAACACCAAAACCCCCCATTTTATTTTTATTGTCATTTTACAAGTATTTTTACAAAGAGATTTTTCATAGAGTTATAAATTGAACCAATCTCCGTGGATTCGATCCCTTTACCACTATACACTATTTTAGTGTGTAATATTAGGGTTATTATTTGAGTTGGCCTCGACAACCACCAGTTGCATAACATTTTAGTATTAAGCTAATTTCCATTCATTTTTTTTATTTATTTAAAATTTCAAAAAGATTTTATTTTCTTCTTTTCCACTTTTTATTTTTGCATAACATTTAGCTTAAGGCATTAGCATTCATGCATTTTTGTTGTCTGTTTATTCTCACCTCTCTTGGATGCCATGGAACTGTTTCACAGTTATTGAATCATTATTGGTCCAGGATCTTGTTGCTATCTCACCCATCGAACCGGGACCACTAGCTGCAGTTTGGGATTTCATACTTGGGAACAGATGCTGGTAGCTTAAAGGGGTAAGTGATCATGGCCAGGTAGTTTCATGAAGAATTATGCATACAATACTAACAACTGTAGGATATACTATAGTAATGGGTGTTCTTAGCCTTGCAGTCACTACCGCGGAGAGGATCACACTTGATCATGTTTGAACTGTTAGGATGAACCATTGGTGCTTGTCCCCGAGTAGAATCGATATCCGGTCTCTTTACATCACCATATCTTTTTGCGATTTTCTTAGAATTTTAGAGAGTCTTTTAGTCCACATTTGGACATTTTCATTATCTTTGAAAAACCACAAGTTTGAAAAGGAGCTTACATTACATCTTTATGCTCCACACATGGTCATTTTCATACTTAGGCCATTCGGATTATATCATTACCCTTTCGGTTCCACCGACACACCTTTGGGAACCAAATTTTGAGTCAAAGGGTTTTCTCATAAAAAAAAAAAAAAAAAAAGAAAGCAAAAAAAAAAAAACAAAAAAACAAAAACAAAATGAAGCACGCAAATTTTCAGTTGCAACTATCTTAGATAGGTGGCCGGTTTAATTATTGAACAAATTTCCTAACATCTTGGTCACCCGGCGTTTGATATTCTTTTGTATAGGTCTGTTTTATTGTATATAGATCGAGTTGTTATTTTTTTTTCTTTCTCACAAATTAGTGATGTTAGAGAGACTGTCGAGTCGGATACTACGGGAGGTTTGGGCTAACACTAAGTGAACTGATTCCTACAACGGTGCCCGAGCGATTAAACCTAGTTACACATGAGAGAAAACGGCAAATGTGAGATAAGAGTGTGCACTTAAAGAAGAGCTCCACCCGAGCCCATCCAGTTGCTTTTCTCCCTACTACAGATGTTCTTCATTGTATGCATGTTCCATTGAGGCTGCGACTGCTCATCCCTCCTTACTCACCTA